CTGGTGTGGTAAACTGAATGTGGAAATAAGGACTGAGATGTATAATGGATCTTGGGAAATGGAAAGAAAGAGTTCAAATGGGAAGGGGAACAAGGGAGGACGGAGGGAGAAAGGAAGGGACAAGATAAAAAGTGAAAGTAGAAGGCAAAAATGGAAACAAAGTTTTGTACATATGGAGGGGAGGAGTCTTGAGGAGGAATGGGATAAAATAAGATCTAAAAATAAGTAAATAAAATGAATGAAATATTTTTAAAGTGAGGACAAATAAAAATATGCTACTTGCAAGTTAGATGGTTTAATTCTCTTGTATTTTCTTTCTCATCTCAATCTAGTTTACTTTGTACAATCTACAAAATAGAATCTAATGGTGCCCAACAGTTGCTTTGTTTAGTCTGACCATCCTATCCCTTGACAGCCACCTCTACTTCATCATTTTAGAAAGAGGCTAAGTGTTGATAATAATGGCAGAAATAAACTCTTTTTGTGCACTGCAGTTGGTTCATGAATTCCTAAAACTGATGTTTTTAGGCTGCATATATAACATCAATTTAAGTCCATAGTAGATAAGATCAAGTTATAAATTTATAATTCGTAATTCTTTAAGAATATGGTTATGAAAGAATATCTCCAACAACTTCTATACTTTGCATATCTTAAATTTAGGACTAAATAAATGGATTTTAATCCCTGACAAAGGAAATAGATGTTAAAATTTTATTTGTATGACATGTACTCTTTATTTTTTGACAAACATTAATATTTGAACTAAATTTTCAATCTCAAACTGTCCTCTGAAATATTTTCTAAAACCTCTCTTCATCTGAATTTCTAGCATGTTTACATTTAGGTTTACCGGTGTGGCCAAAGATGCTAGACTGGCATAGTCATTCATGTCATTCAAGATGACTTTCGAAAAACTGAATTGCCTAATACTATCATCCTTTCAGTCAGAAGTTTCAAAGAATCATTGAAATCCTCAGATACCTTATGTGTACTCTCACTTACCCAAAAATGGCTATCTGGACCTATAGAATTCTAAATCTACCTTTTACATTACTAAAAACAGCTATGGTACTAGTCATTTCCTGTGAAAGGAAAAATAAATGAGAATACAATCAGCTAGTTACTTTTCTGTTTGGGGCTTTCTACAAACCAAAATAGTTGATCTTAGACAATTATAAAGCAGAATAGTGACTGGAAGGTTCTTTCAAATTGGTACAGGCTTCCAATAGACCTACTGCAGCTAATGCTGTAGTCCCAGATTCTTCTAACATGCAATGCTGCAGTCTGTGTCATCTTCCAGACTGGCAGAGCACCATAGGTTTCAAACCACGCATGGTTACTTTTCATCTTTTTCCGACCTGCTATTTTGAGGAATTTAGTTTTCCAGATTTTTCATCTGTAAACAATGACCATGTCTCTGAAATTCTTACAGACTAAGGATGTCTTGGGACCAATTTAGACCAATTCCACTTCTGTGGAGGAAAATGTAGGGGGGTGGGGGGACAATGGAATAAGCCCCTTCTCAAATGGGTCCAATTTACTATTCTAAGGGAAGAGCATAAAAATGATAAAGCCACTGTGGTTTTAGCTGAGATTTTCTCATACCTTGCTGCCTTCCTAGAGAACTTGGATACTTTGTTTTCCCTTTTAACTTACAAAAAGGTCAATTCAAGTACTATAATTGAAAGGAAGAAGGAAATCAAAGTGAAAGGAGGAAACAAACATGCTCACTGTAAGAGTTAAGATCATTTGCTATAATTAGGTATAGTTTGGTTTTGAGTTTCTTGGCAGCCTAGAGGAAATGTGGGGGTATTATGAACGACAGACTTTACAATTAAAAAAAAAAAGGAATTCATACTGTTTCTTAGGAGATAGAGATAATGTAAGCAGTGTACTAACAGTGTCCTTCTTAACAGTTCTGTGGGAAAGACAGAAACAAGTATTTATTTTAACATCGAGACACATGCTAATCAAGCTGATCCTCCAAATACTCAGGTAGTAGTAAATATCTATAAAGGCTAAGTGCAACCCAAAGACAGCAGTTTTGAACAACTCAAGGTCTGAATGGATTCTGAAACCTGTAGTGTGTGGATTTTTGTTTGGATGCTCATAAAAATCAAATAGATTCCTTGTTTAAAATATCAGTTATTGAGCTCTTTGCCTGCAATTTCTGATTTAGGTGGTTTCAGATGAGATCCTGGTATCTATGTTTAGTAAATACTTAGTATGCTTCTAATACAGCCAGTCTGGGGAGCTTGAAAACCAGCCTTGAGTTCTCTTTTGCTAATGTCTTCTATGTTAATTAAATTTTTGGATAATTATGCTAGTTCAATATTATACTGTTTGCAGAAAGCCTAGAAAGCAAAAATTATATGTTGCTAATTAGGGGCAGATCTATATGGGATCACAGGGATAGTAGCATTTTTATTCTATTATGAAAATTGTAGAACCAGACCCTAGTGTCCCAGGAAAAGCTTCCATGAGTTTTTTTTTCTGGTCAAGGCCAGATACTCCTCACAAAGGAGTTTGAGTTTCTTCTAGGACTTGACTCACTGATGAATTCTAACATCAAGTTAGAACAAGTCAGAGATCATTTTGTGATTGAAATCTTTGGAGGAAGTGCTACCCAGGAGCAAAATAGCTACCCCAAGTGCCTTCATGATGACCCTGTGCAGGTCTCTCGGTAATTGCCGCGCTAAGTGAACTGTTAGATGGCCCCCCAGAACACACTGAACTGTTACATGGTGCTGTTTAACATCGATCAGATGAATGTTAGGGACCTCTAACAGAGGCGATGGTTTTTGTTTCATCCAAGTTGATGATGAGCCATTCTTCCCAACAGCTAAGTTTCCGAGGACTCCTTGTCTTTTAAAACCACTTCTGTTGAATGAATGACGGGACATTTCGTCAGTATTTAGTAGTCCTAAAGTACTTCGTTTTAATTTTTTGAAAAGTAAGGCCACTTATCCCGGACTTTGTTGGTTAGTTGGTAACGTTCCAAAGCATATCTTGATGTTAAGTGTTCATTAAACACACCTATTGCTTTTTTGTAACAGAAAGAGATGAAACGGGCAATCTTCTTTCCTCTGAGTCAATCTCTCTACAGTGGTAGATTGATTCGACGTGTCCTACTAGCTGCTTGACACATATTTTTTTTTAGCTTTTCTAAGAAAATAGCTTGATTTTTTTTTTTCATGAATTTGTGTCAGATAAAATAATGTCAGTTCCTTTGCACATCACCAGGCTTATGGAAGGTTGCTTTTGTCTTGCTTTAATTTCTAGGTGGTAAGATTAGTTTACCTTCTAGAAATTAACATCATTTTTCTACTTATCTTGACAGTGGCATTATTCTACCTTTGACAAAGTGTACTTAAAACCTTTAAAAATTTCTACATGCCTTGTACCTGAGGATGTTTTTAAAGTTCGACACAAAAAGAACCTCTTACCTTAAAAAGAATATTTTAAGTCCTTTGAACTGCATTCTCTCTAAAATCTCACTTTTAAAAAATTGAGTGTATTTAAGTGGTAGTTTTGATATAATTTTGGTTTTGATTTTAACTGAAAAAAATCTACATATTTGGTGGCTTTGGAAGAAAGTACCTTAAGTCAGAGGAATTGTTGCCATGTTAGATGACATTTTGTATCTTACAGTAGGTATGTAGAAAAAGTAAATTAAGGCTCTATATATTTTCCAAAGTTTTCCATAAATACTTTTGTATAAGCATACAGTTTTTCTTGGTTAGTCTATCACATTATTTTATGAGCATAGATAGGATTCATTTATGTTTCTATATTAATTATATTTTTAAAGAGATTTTCCAGATAGGTGCCCCCAAAAATTAAAATATAGACTGACAAGAGCATGTCTGATTTCTACTTTAAGGAGTGACACATCTAATTGTGGGATTGATTATAGTAATTAAATAAAAGTGAGGTATGTTTAGCAAGAAATCTTGGAAAATAGCTTTGGCAGAGTTTTGAAAGAAAAAAGAAAGGCACATTTGGATTTGGAAAACAAAAATATTGTTCATGTTGGAAACTGACAGATGATTAAGGGATAGTAAGTATTCTCTCTTAGGATTTTATGCAGAATTAGTTCCTTTCCTTTTTGGGTCTACTTCTACCCAGAATGGTTTCTAGTACAAAAGTAGAAAAACTTTGAAAGATCCTGTAATTCATCCTGTGGAAAATACTACAAAATGCATCCTTGAGAAATGAGGTTTTTTTCCTAGGGTTAAAGAATTGGCAGTGGTGGAGGGCAAATCAGAATGCCCAACTTCGATACAGAGTTTATTCTGTCATACTACTGTGTTACCTCCTAGATGTTTGATCTCATCCTAAACATTTTAGTCGTGCAGAAAATATAGAAGTGTCCCCATGCAAGACTTTAGGTTCTAGAACTTTGTTTACCCATTATTTTCTATTAGAAGCCTTTTTTTTTTTCCTTGGGCAGAAATGTTAGTAATCATTTAAGATAAAATTTCTTTCTAAATCTGCGTGCCCTTGATTCTCAACTGCAGAGGAGCTGTTATCTTTTTAGTGTATGTTCTTAAATTGGTGAAATATTTTTCATTTTGCTGTATTTTTCTAAATTGTGATGAAACTAGATTTAAAAAATATGCATAATTATCTCTTCATGGCTTTTATTGTCAACATGGGTTTGGGAAAATGACACATCTATTCCTAAGAAGGAAAACAACACACAACTCTAGAAACCTCATTTTCTTTTCTCCTTATACTAGTGAATTTATTTTACTCTTGTTTCATATTAGACATCATCTACCTACTGGAACTGCAAAGCTGCATGTGGACAGTCACTTGTTTCCAGGATAAAACACAGATATGTACATAGACAATTGCTAGAGAACAAGGAAACCATTCGATTTCAAGATGGTGATAAGCAATTCGCAGTCTGATGGTTTAAAACCACTTTAGCTGATTTTTATGTATTTGTTTTCAGGATCTGTGAGTTAGATTTTTTCTTTTTTTGGTACCAGGGATCGAACTCAGGATCTTGCGCTTGTGATGCAGGCGGCAGAACCACTGAGGTAAATCCCCAGACCCTGATATGTTTTTAATGTGTTATCAATCATGAAATCTCAGCATACATACATCAATTACTTTTCAATATTATTTCATTGGTTAGATTACCTATTTTCATGAGATTTGAGGTCTAGTGATATGGAGTTATTCAGTAACGTTTTAAATGTATGTTTCGAGCTACTACATCATCAAGATGGAGGAGCAAAAAGCACATTTGTATTATTGGGACAGAATGAATCTTAATGGAGTACATTTTAAAGGACCAGTATTTTATATTAATAATAGAAAAGTATGCAGTTGTGATCTATGGGTTTTCCAACATTATTGAAAGTAAGTGTTCACTACTGCTGTACCAAAGTGTTCTTTCCAGAGGGATTTAGTCAAGTGGAATGGATATAATCTTCAAATATATGTCTTATATTAGTTTCTCACTGATACATAACAGTAGGCAATTTTTAAAAGTGAAAAAGAAAAGCACGTTAAGTGGAAAAAATAGGCACTATGTTTTAAAATACATGTGTGCCTACCTGAGTCACACTACTTAGTTTAAAGAATTTGGGACTATTAATGGTGATTATAAAAAATACTCTTTTAAATTTTCATTTTGATTTAATGATACTCTTTGTTCACATTTTGAACAGAAAAATAATTCTGCCTAATGTGAGAACGTTGATAGGTGTTGCAGACTACCACATAATGCAGAAGCTGTCGGGTATTGCATATTAGAGAACAATACTACAGGTTTGCCTGATAACTCATAGAAATAGTCATATTGACTGTTCTGCTATGAAACTTATTGAATTGTTTGAATTCATGAAGAAAGCTAAATGAAATTATTGTATCTGCCATTTATCCTGAACAACTGTAATTTGAAATAATGTACTTTTAGAATTTTTGTAATCTGTTTTTACTAGCTTTCAGAGAGAAAAAGAGAAAATTGTTAATCAATATTGAGTTCAAAATAATAATTGAACAGATATTATTTATCTTTCTGTATAGGACAACACTTTCTTCTTGAAAAGTTCTCAAAAAATCCCATCATTTCACATGGTAACCAAAACTGTAGTAAATGGGCTGACATTTCTACTTGAAAGGAAACAAATTTCTGCTGTCTGAAAACATTCCCAGTGCTCTTCTAATCACTACACATGTGCTCACTGCTTACTCTACAAAAATGGTGGGAAAGGAAAATATAAGGAAAAATAAAAACACACAAACACATAATCCAGAGTTTAAGATGTATATACACTATTTTTGAAGAGTAAAACATTCTTTCCTTTAAAACTAAAACATATTGTTGACTGTTACTCCTAATCCAACTTCATTGGATTATGAATCCCCTATCAGATTAGTAAAACAGGCTTCTGGGTAGGAATGGGCGGGTTGTGGATGTGTAGTGTCGTAGGCCTGGGTACTGTATGTGGCTTCTCACCCATGCTCTGGCACTGATTCCCTGCTCTTCTACCTGGCCACCATGACGTAAGCAGCTTTGCTCCACCTTGCCCTTCTGCCATGTGGCTCTGCCTTGAGTGCAGCTGGCCATACACTGAATCTCCACCCATCTAAGCTCTCTTTCATTAAGTAGAGTCTGTTGTGTATTGTGTGCCGGCAACCAAAAATATACATACAGTATCTTTGTTTAAGAAAAATATCAATGAATACAGATAATATAAAGTAGAAATTTCATTTCCCACTGGAATAAATCTTTTGGTAATTTTTTGTATTTTTATGTATGTTTTTGTTTATCTTCCCAGTGGTGTGCATGTATGTTTGCTCACATATCTGCACATAGAATCAAGTTATATATTTCATCTCTGAACTGCTTATGTAATTATCATGAACACGTTCCTATGTTGTTCTAATAACCTATTGCTGCCTAAAAACCCACATCAAAAATGGACTTATTTAACACAACATATCCTTTAGTCTTGGGCAGGGCTTGCCAGGGACAGGTTACTACTGTTCTACTTTGAGTTGAACATGGCTCCAGGTCTGGAGGCTGGAATCATGTAAAGATGTGTTTACTTATGTATCTGTCCACTGATTCTGGTTATTGGCTTGGACTTTAGCTTAGTCTGTCAATTGGAATGTCTCCACTTGAGCTCTCTGTATGGCTGGAACTTCTTCTGGAAGACAATTCTGCATGAATATTTCATATTTTTGCTTGGCCCAGGCTCTATAAGTAAAGGCGTTTACAGTCAATATATGGATGTTTTCATAAAGAGACATCATAGGATACCAAAGCTCAGAGACATATCTCTTTCTGTAGGAGGTCTAGAGTAGTTAAGATAAAATCCTGTTCATCTCCTTTTCAGATTTGCTTAAATTCCAAAGACAGGATAATGTTTTTCCTCTCCTGAGCAAGGATGAGGATTCACACATTGCCAACAATATTGTGGAAGGTCAGAGACTCCTAGTTTTGGGGTTCTTCTCATGTAATATACCTGATTGCATGTACAGCTGTCAGCTGGTCCTTATGGTACTACCCTGCAAGTGCTGGGACTTGGAAAACTGGTTGCTGCTCTTTCTGAAATAAACTGTGCTTGTCTCTGAGCCAGAGGCCTCTTGTTCTCTCTGTGTGTATCTAGCACTATTCATAATATTGTGTAGATGTGAACGTATCTAAGTGTCTGTCCATTCATTCATCCATCCACCCACCCATCCACACACCCTGTGAAGGTCTAAATTACAAGCCAGGTAAAATTTCGGATCTGCCACATTTTCTGAAATAGAGCCAGTCCAATCCTGGAGGGTAACTGAGAGAAAAAGGGAAAGTGAGAGGAGGATGGCAGGAGAGCCCAAGAGAATGATTTAGAGCTGTCCACTGCTCAGTATTAAATATGATTGATTGTTCAGTCTCGCAGAGTTGTACTCTAAAAGGAGACATAAACATTGTCTCAGGGCAAGGAAGGAAAGAAGGGAGAGCAATTTATCTGCTGCCTCCTGTCTCCCATTGGTCAATGTTTGCTCATGGGGCATTAATCCCTGCATCCTGCACCTCCTTGGATGGTGCCACTTCTAGACTTAGTAAATATGAAAGGCCTTAAAGGACATATCTAATATGGTATTTTATTATCATGAATTTTGATTTAAACATTCTCTAACTACATAAATCTTTGTGCACTTTCCAAATTGTATTTGTAAAATAAGTTACAGAAGTGAAAGCTCAAGATCTTTGAATATACATATTACAAATTTTGTTGTCTACTAAAATGTTGCTAATTTATCTCCAGAAAATTTATGCATATTTTTATTCTACTAAGCAATCAGAAAATAACCCTACTGTCATACTCTAGTTAAGGCCAATCTAACGGACATAACAAAACAAAATTCTTTTTGTTTTCCCAACCTGGTTCATTGATTTTTTTTGATGTGTAGATGAACAAATTTTCACATACTCAGTAATCATTTTCGTTTTATTCAGTAAATTACTTTTCATGTCTCTTGGTATTTTATTAAGGAGTGTTTCCTTTTTCTTGTTGATGTTTTAACTTGCTATATAGATTATGAATAAGAAGACTTTAAAGTTTACAAATATATTTTCCACTTGTCATTTATATTTTATGTTAATTTTGTCATCTCTTTTGTCAAATAGAGGCTAAATAGCTCATTTTTTTCTTTATACATTGACTTTTGAATGTAAAATCTTACTTTTTATTTTTTATTATATTTTCTAATTTGTTATGACTAATATAATCTGTCTATCTCTAAATTTATTTTCTGATCATCCTATCTGGTTCTCACAGTTTTCCTGATGTTCTCTTTCAATCTCTAAGTAGAAAATTATATCACCGTTACATATCTGTCATCTTCTATATATTTTCAAATATGTATTTTGAACTTTTTCTCTAAATTAAAAATTTTGAGTATTATGTTATAAACATTTTAAGACCACTAGAAACATAAATTTAATTACTTAATTATTTTCTACATATAGATAATCTAGTTTTGTTTGTGTTTTTAACATTTATAAATAATGATGTATGATTATCTTAACAAATGAATTATTTCTGTGTGATAATTGTTAGGAGCAGTTTTCTATACTTGAATTGGTGGGTTAAAAGCAATGAAATTTTTAAGGTTCATTATACAATTTGTTAATGTTTCTTGTAAGTGTTTATTGCTACATAATTCCAGTGGCAGAGTATGGGATCATCCATCTCTGTTTTACTAATTAACACTAAGTTCCTTCACTTACTTTAACTTTTCTTAGTTTGATAAATGATATCATTATTTTAATTTACAGGTTGGTTTGATTACAAGGACATTAGACCATGTTCTCTTATGTCCATTAAGTGATTTGTTTTATCTATAAATTTTTCTGTCATGAACTTAAGTCTTTTTTCATTGGAACTGGTTTTCAAATTGGTTTATGTAAAAAGAACATTAACGGAATATAAGTAAAATTTGGAGCAGGTATTTTCTTAATTGTAGTTTGATTTTTAATTTTATATGGACGCCTGCCTTTTAAAGTGTAATCAAATCTCTTGATGGTTCTACCTTTGTGATTTCTTTTATTGTATTTTTTCTTGATCAAGAAGTCAAGTAGATAAACACACTGAGATTTTCTAAAATAATAGTTTATTTTTAGAGCAGTTTTAGATTCACAGCAAAATTGAGCAGAGAGCACTGAATTTCCATACACTGTATCTTCTTCATACACTCATAACCTCCCCACTTCACCATACTGCACCGTAAGGGAACACTGTTTCCAACTGATGAACACACACTGACATATTATTATGCCCAAAGCCCACAGTTACATTAGAGTTCACTGTTTTATTAGTATGTGTCTGCTATACATGAAGTTTGCACTCACCTTGAGCAGTAGGTATGTGTACATAACACATCTTGATTTTTTTTATTCCCCTTTCCACACACCTCCCTCACTGTGCCTCTAGATGCCCTCACCCTATTTTCATTATTATTATTATTATTATTATTTTAGTTCATGTTTATGGCATACAATGTTTACACATTGTGAGTATTTGGCACATGTACATAA